CAATCAACTACTTTACCTTAAGAATAGGCATAAATTTTAAAATTTATTATAATTTATTCACAATCAACTACTTTACCTTAAGTATAAGCATCATTTTTGAAATAAAGTATTATTTATTCATAACCAACTACTTCACCTTAAGCATCATTTTTAAAATAAATTACAATTTTTACAGCAAAAGGTCAATAAATTTGTTAATAAATTGACATAAGTATTAATATAGAAGTTGGTTGTAAATACAAACTCACAACCAACTACTTTACCTTAAGTATAAGCATCATTTTTGAAATAAAGTATTATTTATTCATAACCAACTACTTCACCTTAAGCATCATTTTTAAAATAAATTACAATTTTTACAGCAAAAGGTCAATAAATTTGTTAATAAATGGATATAAGTATTAATATAGAAGTTGGTTATGAATACAAACTCACAACTATTTTACCTTAAGTATAAGCCTCATTTTTAAAATAAATTATAATTCAACACCGCAACAAAAACATAAATAGTCAATTACCCTAACCCGTGACGTGTTCGGTTTTAAATATGAATAGTTGTTTTTCCTACTTGTCTACTTGAATAAAACTATCAGCCATCTAATCGTTTTTTTCTACCGTTACGTTTTCGATGTCAACCGATACGAAATTTTAATTAGCGTTTAATAACATTGGCTATTATCTAGGAGCGCAGCAAACATTTAGTTGTAGTTTAAGCGTAAAAGGGAATACCGTCACATCCAGTTGGAACAGCACTAATTGAACCAAAAAGGCTGCGTTCACAACAAAGACGGACCAATAATAACTCACCATGATAAGAAGATGGGGTGTCCGTTCTTCTAGCCATGGCAGTTAGTAGAATAAACACACCAACGTCGTGTTGGTTTTGAAGACTGCATATGAGAACCGAGGTGAGCCTCCGTTATTTTATCCCGCAGCAGAAGCAGGGATAGTGGAGAAATAAACAAAGCAGCCTGCACCGTGCGGGGCTCCTGGATGCTCTGAGGATGCTTCATTCACGCAGCTGAGCGTCGGTCGTGTTTACAGAAGCGACGTCATTAATTATTCCAAACGGCCTTAAAGGAGCCGCTACACTTTTCCAACTCCCTTTGTTACAAACCACACTTGAACGGACGGGGAGATTGATGGCTAAAACACGAATGGATACCGAATTTTGTATAGATATTGTGATTTTAAACCAATATAATTTCGCCAAAAGTATATTTGAATTATCAATGTACTAACAACTGTCCGAAACTAAGTGGACTAGAGGAGAGAAACACTGACCTCAGCCGGCATTTCTGTGATGTTGCATATTTTCTTTGTCCCTTTGTCTTCGCCTCCCCCTCAAATGCTATCATATCCAAAAATAGGTGTTATACCCACCTCTTTATCATCTGGGAATAGTCTGTTAATATTATAGTACGAATTGATCTACAGCAGTAATTTTTAAAAGATCTGAGTTAGATTAATCACAAACACTGACTTTGGTCATAAATTACATCAAAGGATTCCTAAGAAATTCATCTTTTTTTTTTCAAGCATGCCAGAGAATGGGAAGTCAAATTTGCCAATCAAACGTGATGATAATTTATTAATTTCAAAGGAGAAGCCCCTTGAGTTGAAGCCTTTTTTTTTTAAAGGGGTTCTTGATATAAAAAAAAGCAGCAACAAACTGATAAACAAGGCAGATTCAGCAGTATATGTATCATTGAACCATTCATATATAAACAAAACCCAACAGCATAACCATACACACAGTCCAATCACACAAACATTCAAACACACAAAGCTCTCAACTGCAGTAACAGGTAAACAGTATTATAGTTATTAAAACAATGCACAGTCAAAACAATGAAATATAATTTGTAAATGATGAACAAGGACATTTTTAAACACATAAAGAGTATGGAGCGTAGAGAGGAGGAGAGATGTTCCAGTCAAAGGGTGTTTAAAAGACAATTTTCAATTATTTTTTTTTTTTGGTGATTGGTGGAGCAAAAAAATAAATAAAAACTTGAATAGTATATCTATATGCAGACAAAAACTGAATGAAGAATGATTTTAAATAGCCATGGTCATTAACATTAAAACACTTAAAGGTGTAGTGGAGGATGTTCTTTTTCCGGGTGGATCATCTAAATAAGTGGTCCGACTATTTGTCAATCATTCTGGTGATATGTTTACATAAAGCCGTCCAATGTGCTTGTCCCCATTTTCACTTTTCAGTGGCGAGTCTGACATAGTGGAAAAGTTGCAAATCTTCTTTTGGGAAGTAAGCCTGTATGAGCGATGCAAACAGCAACTTTTAAGCGGAGCGTGCACGAGGAGAAATGGGCTCATGCATGATCTCGAACACATTTAATAATTGTTCCCTCCTGGGAGCGCGTACAGGGTTGTGCATATGGATTTCTTTTTTTTTTTTAAGTGTAGAGGGCAGGTCTTAAAAAAAATTGCAAAATTCCTCCACTGTGCCTTTAAAGATTAAAACACTTAAACATAAATAATGGTGAAATAGTTGTCTGGAACAATTGTATGGAGTTTGCCAAGATACTGGCACAACAGACAATGTTGCAGAAAAGACAACACAGAATAAACCTGCACAGAGTGTTATATATGAATTTAAGTGGTTGGAGATACATGGAGAATACTGTAAGTGATCTGTATTAGAGTTTACATGTCTTTGAAAGAAGGGTACTGCTCCCAGATGGACATTTTAAACCCTGTGAGAAAAATGTTATACTTTCATATTACATTATCAGCTGTCAATGTTACACAGAGTTTGTTGTATTTTATTCTCCTGTCTGGGACCAATAAAAAAATACAAGAATGGAGAATATGTAATTTGTTTAATATTTTTCTAATGATCATGTTTCTTATAGTAAAAATGTACCGACTCATCTAAAAAATAAAAAAAAAGGCCTTCTCCTTTGAGATGTACTAATAAGTTTTGTAATATTGATAATGTAATCCTGGGCTTGATGGATGCAGTTTTATCTAAACAAAAAACTTGATCCCATTAAGCTCTTTATAAATCAATATTTTAACACTGAATATTTATTAACAATACAAAAAAAAAAAACCTTTGGCATTTTAAATAGGTTTAATTTATTCAAACCTTAAAGAAATTCTTAAGTTTGCATATGCTTCCAAACCGTAAGACTTGTTGGGTGTTCTTGTTTGAACTTTATACATACAATTCCAAATTTCCTCCAGACAGAACCAGAGTGATATATTGTGGTTTTTAAACATTTTGCAACATACAAAAACCATGGTAGGACTTCAGCTTCCTGTCTGATATTTTGCCTTTCTAAATGAAGTACTTGTTCTTCATGGTGCAAAATACCCAAGTATCAAGACTTTTTGTCATGTTTGGCTTCAGGTGCCTAACCCACATGCAGAACACTCCGAGACAGGATAAAAGTTCAAAGGTTTATTTAGAAGTTGGAATACAATAAATAAACAGATCCCAAGGGGAACTCGTCTGGTCATGAGTGGATTCTGAAATGCACACAGAATTAACAGGTCCAGGACTGGTCACGAGTGGGTTCACTGCAGAGGGGGACAGAGGAGTTAGTGGAGATCCAGGTAATTTGCAGGATGAGAGTGTGCAGGGCTGTACCTGTACAGGAGTTGAGCTGAGCGGCTGAGGGGGGAACCTTGAGGGTCCAGAGGCTGTCGGCAGGCTGAGGGCTAGGCGGAGGCAGAGCTTGATTTGAGTGTTGGCAGATTACCGATTTGAGTTTCCCTTCCGGTTTCTTCAGAGAGCGGGCAGGCAGGTCTTTGACAGGAATAGTTTTCCAGGGTTCTTCAGAGAACAGACAGGCAGATTACCGGCAGAGATTCTCTTCTGGGTTTCAGGTTTCAGACAGGTTCAATCTAGGAAGCAGAGAGGAAAAAACAGATCAGGTTCAGGTTCTGGTTTTCAGGCAGTCAGAGATTCAGACAGGCAGGTTGGCTCAGTCTTGCTAACCGTAACTGGCAAACACTCTGGCACTGGAGAGAAGTCTTCTGCCTCCTTAAATACAGATCTCCTGATGAGCAGATGAGCGACAGGTGGTTGCAATCAGCTCCGGCTCCAGGAGATCTAGTACGTCCTCTGGTGGAGAAAGTGGACAGACCTCCAGATCCCAACACTTTTGATCTCTCTACTTGGGGGATTGCCAAGGTTCTCCCTTTCCCATCAAATGTAACAATGATCATTATGAACGGAAACTTTAGTTTGATTAAAATCAAGTCCTTAATCTCTAAATCTGACCGGTCAGTTTTTACCAATAAACCACTGAACTATACAATGGGAATTTTCATGACTTCTTTAAATCCTTGACTCCCCTAAACAAATTTACCTGTTGTTTGGTTTGTTTTCATATTCTAACATCTGTTTCATGTGCCATACAAGGCTGATGTATCAGAAAAAATACTACTTGTTTCTTGATACTTTTCTTTCATTAAGTTTTCTGTTTAAGGCTCTGTTGCTCCAGCTCTAATCTGCATACCTAGCAGCTTACCAAATACTTGTGTTGTATTTGGCTCAGCAGAAGCAAGCTGCTGACTGGTGCCTCTGTAGATAGGAGGTTGGAGTTAATTAAAAAGCTTTTGTTCTTAGCAGTTAGCCTTGTAGTTCACTGGAGTTGCTCCCTCTGGAGCTGTTTTTTAGACCTCAGCGATGCCTTAAATCATAAAAAATCCCTGAATGCAACCAGGTCCTGCCAGTTTACAGTGACCAGATGTTTCATCAGGTCCTCTACATTTTTCATGCAGCTAATTTGATGATTGCTGTTATGCTCTATCTATGATGTGGCTATTAGGAGACGTGATGACTATTGACGTGATGTAAATTTATCTCAATTGCTTTAGTCTTGGTCACATCAGTAGATATACTTTCAAATGGTTTAGTGCCTGAACACAGAATACGTGGTTTTAAATCAAATGACTAACTGAGCTACAGCTGCATCCCGCTTCTTCTTCATGCTTTAAATGAATACCCAGTGATGCTTTCTGTTTCTTAGTTTTCAGAAGAGTTGCGTGTGAGATGCATTGCTGTATTTTTTAAACTGCTGCACATATGAAATATTCATTGTTTTGTGTGCTCACATAAATTTCTCTCTTGTTGATGTTACATGTTTATGCTTCTCAGCTATCAAACACGCTTGTTTTATACCCAACCATAAAGACAAATTTAATATATTTTAAGGTTTTATCAAAAGATCAAATTAAAAAGCTTAACCCAAATAACAAATACTTGCTAGCAATGCTATTCCCCTTGAGTGGCACTGTTTAGAAGATTTAAATATTTGTAGAATTTTTTTAATTTCTGCTTTTTAGATTATTTTTTTTCAACCCCATGTGATTCCGTCTGTAGATTAGGGCAGGTGAGCAGGAATCTTTGTCCATCCCAGTCACAATTCTAATTGTTTAAATATCTGCCAGTTTATGTAAGAATCAGAAATCTAAATTAGTTGAATAGTGTATATTTTTGTCTTCCTCATTTAAAGAGTGAATTACTGTAAAGTCACTCACTTCTATAGTTTTAGGTATCTCACATTTATGCAGCAGATTGTACAGCATTAGTGAGCGCATTTGGGATCATATTAAAAGTGATTCAATAAAAATTTAAATTCAAAACTATATGATTTGTAGGCTGGGAGTTGGGATTCGATTAATGGGAAGGGGGAATAGGTAAGTCAAATTAAATGAATGGGACAGATGCAGGCTACTGAGGCAGACTGTGAGGAAAAGTGACATGAAACACAAAACAGAGACAATATTCACACCCACGAAATAAAAAAAAAACCTAAAACTGACAGAGAATGAACCCAAAATGAAGACAGCAAACCTTTTCTAAAAGTTACAAAAACTAAACCTTTAGCTTAATGAACATGAAGTTCTTGGATATTCTTCATCATTGTACTAATAACAAAACTGATTTGCGATAACTTAAAAAAAAAGCTTCAATTATATTTAGTTTAAAGAAGTATGAGGTGGTTCAATTAATGTCATACTAATGATTTTGTTAAAGTGTAAATTAGAGATAAATTGTCTCACATTTTCTAATGCAAGATTAAGCTCCTGCATTAAAAATGGTTTTGATATAGGGCTTTTTAATAAAGGGAGGCCAAAAATTGCTTATCTGTAATAGTACATATTATTTCTGTACTAAGATATGTATGCTGTCACATTATATGTTCTCTCAACTGATGTTACTATTTAATTAAGTCATGTTCGAATAACTGGGCTATGTTGTGCCTCTTTGTATCTCAACATGATTAAACAGAACTATCAAAGTGATACCATTTCAGAGATTTCTACAGAAAATTAGTTTGGCACCAGCTTTCAGATTAAAAAAACTAACATCAAGGGCTGTCCAGAGGCGCAGTTGTTGTTTAATGTTGAGCAAAAAGCATAAAAAGTGGTAGAAGATCAAACCCACCTCCATTCCCAGAGTGGTTTTAAATTAGGTTAGCTTGTTATTATATAATCTGCTCTTATCTGGTGTTGGATTTTTTTTTTAAATAAAAACATGTTATGATTCCTATGAAAGCCAACTGCTTCAGATAATTTAAGATTTGAGTCTTATTGAAAACAGGGTAAAAATCATGCCATCCAAGGATTCGTTTGTACCCCCAAAAAATTATAAAAATAAATCCTTATAATCTGAACATAAGGTCCATTAAACACTGACTGTATAGTTTTATCTATCCAAATTAAGTAAATTATTTCCCTGAACTAAAATGTAAAGATAATAGTTCCAAAACAATTTCATAATAAATATTAAGTGAAAATGTTATCACAACAATCACATCTTCTCCATTCTTAAAGGGCATCAAACTGCTTAAAAAAAGCTTGCTAAAAATATTTTGTGACAAATTTAATTGGTATGCTAGATAAAAAAGATATATATATTATTTAGAAAGATTTGGACCGAATGATGAACTGAAAACCAATATGCTTTGTTAATTTAAAATTTGTTGCGGGTTGGGGAAAAATAATAAAAGAGATGCTTGAAAAAGTCTCAGGATAAAAAATTGCATTGGTATTAGGAAACATGTTAATCTTCAAGGCTTCAGCAGTTCATCTCCCTCCATATTTAAACATTCCCCTTATAGAAATGTGCAAAAAACACATTTCTTACTGGGACATGCAGAAACAACCATCCCTTACTTATTTAGGTGGAAAAAAGTTATTTGAGAAACACAAAACCAATCACCACAGCTATCAGAACCTACAATTCCTTCAAAAACTGTAACTCAAGCTTTTATTTATTGAATTATGCATTCTTTCTGTATGTTGATAATAATGTCAGGAAACTTATCCCTGCAGTTTAGACATCCCATCCACTTTAAGCATCTTTCAGGTTAAAAATATTTTAAAAACATTCTCTGAATCCTCTTGAGCTTCATGTCAGACCTGTAATAAATGTCAAAACATTAAGCTCAAGTATTAAATAAAACTGGGAGTGTTAGGTGTTTAGGACCATGAGGAGTTCTTTGCTTTAGGATGCTGGGAGAGCGGAGTATTGGAGCGTCTCTTTCTGTTGCTGTGCGCTCCTCTCTGTGATGCTGCCGACCATTCCAATATTACACATGCTGAGGAGTCCCTCACGCCGGGTCCCGATAGGATGAAGACTTGCACTGCACGCTGAAACAACGAGGGGGGAAGTCAAGATGAAGATAAGAGTGGTAATTAAGAATGAGAGTGATGGGGGAGGAAATCTGTCCTGGGGGATTCTATTTCTTTGTGTTGAGCTTTAATGTTTGTGCCACTCAGAAATGAGTTACCGACTGTTCTCTATTCACCGTGACCCAATTGCATTGTGCAGCTACATATTAATAATATCCATGAAGGATAATCCTATAAGAGCTCATCCTTGTGAACTTTTTCTTCATTGACTGAAGATATTATTAGCCTACAACACATTTGAACTGATCAGTCTGAAACATGTTTCCTGTTCAAAGAGCACAGCTACAACTGTCCTCTTCTCCATTACCAGACTTTAAATGTTTGCAAACTTGTCTGTTAATCTGTCCTAATCAGAGGTATCAATATATCATTGTTTTGTTTTGTTGTTCTTTTATTTCTAAGTGTCAAGGGGTTGGTGGCATCATCATCGTTACCATGGTTACAGGATTTATGGTGGTGTACAACATCTCTTGTGGGAGCTCACCTTCCTCTGCCTCCAGATCACCATATTCCCAGCACGTGGATGCTGCAGCCCCAGCCACCAAGAGACCAGACAGTGTGCAGGCATCTACTCTAGATGGGTTTGCAGGTGTTATGGACTTTAAGGTAAACATGCATCCTTTGTTCATGGATCTGAAACATCCCATACTGCAGTGGTGCTATACCTGATTTACCGTGAACCATGGCCGCGGGAAGTGGGAGTGCTGCAGCACTATTAAGTGGCAAGAGGGAGATTTTTTAAAAATGTCTTTAAAATTCTTTGCACAATTAATACATTTCTGCAAAGTATTTTGCCTTTTTTTATTTTACTATTACGTTAATTTGGATTTTAAGTTAATTATGAGGCCTAATCAACACAAGTTAATGGAAGTTTTGCTGTCATAGCAACGTCAAGCAAGCCAATGGTTGCAGAGTAAAGTGGTATCCCATTCACTGCAGCAGACTGATAAATTTACATAGTCTAATATAGAAACAAGGAGGAAAAATGGCACAGAAACGCATTTCGATTATTTTTGGAAAACCACCATGAGTGAAGAATAAGACTAGTTTCACAACCACCACAATGGATAGCAGTCAGAGTGAGGAGAATGTCAGCACGCTTGTGATGGCAGTTGTGCCAGCAGGCCGAGCCCCAGCACCCGGAAACCAACCTAGACCAGGGCACCCTGCCCGTAGCTCAAAGTAAGAGCACAGTCCCGCAGAGCACTTTCATATCTATTCATGCAATTTAACGTAACCATAGTATTTTACAGAGTGTTATTATTATCTTTGATCTATTTTGATCCTGTAATCTTTGTGTAATGGATGTGGAGAACTGTTCAATAACATTTAAACATTGTAATATAATTATTTCCTTGTGCTTTGCGTAAAAGGATTTTGGAGCTAATAGAGTCACGTGTGACATAAACACAGTGACTCAGGTTCGTGCCCGCTCACCAAACTTACTTTGTTTTGGTGTTAATGTGAAGTTTAATTAATAGCACATTATTTCACCTGAGAACTGATGATGTCTGTGTGTTACAGACCCCGGTTGCATGCATTGAAGTGTATTTGAACTTAAAGTAGTGAATCTTATTTATTTGTATTTACTGTATTTTAAATAGGCCTATAGGTTCATAAGTCTTTTGTCCCAAAAAAAAAAACAAAACAAAAAAACAATTGCAGCACCCCCTGTTCAAAATGACTTCCAGCGGCCCTGTTGTGAAATATTCTGAAATAAGGTTAGGTTTCTTTTCCAATATATCCGTCCTTTATGAAAATAAAACAGCTACGATTTTTGTGAAATGTGAAGCATTACCCAAGATTGCAGTTTTGACATTGGAAATTTGGATCTTTGCTTAGGGTGCTTCTGTGTTGGGTAGCATCACGAAAAAGTTATGCCAAAAAAAGGTGACTTTTCTGCTCCTTTATTACATGTTAAGTCAATTGGAAATAAATTTTATGAAAAAACATAACTTCTGGGCTGTAAGCCAAATTCAACCAAACATGGACCTCTCTGTGTACCTTTAAGGGAGCCAGCTTGCCAGAGAGCCTCTTACTATACCTTACCAACTTCACTTTCCTCCAACCTCTACTGCGATGTGTCTTTATGCACATTCCTCCACTAATATTCAGTATTTTACTGGATTGGACATCACTTCTCTGTCGTTTATTAGCTTCTATAGATAGTGACCTGAGCATGCAGGCTCCATCATGTCAATAAAGTCATACTTTTCTGATGGCAAATAAAAAAGCATTTGTCACAGAAACTGCCATAGCATAATTCTTATCTTCATTTTTTATTAAATATGGCTCAAATGAAATTTCATTACATAAAAGCATGTGCTGCCCCTTACTACTAATCAATAAGCAGTGTAGAAACTGTGTGTTTATGGTGTTGAGAGGTATATCTACTGCACTATTGGGATTGCTTTCCTGTCAGTTTGAATTTCAACAGTTCAAGCTCAATAATTTTGATTACTTTATCCCTTTTTTGTCATATTTTGTCCTTTAAGCTGAAATTTATAAATCGAAGAAAAAAAGGGTTAATATAATCTGTGTCTCTGAGGCCCAGGGGCAGGGTGGCCACAGAGACACATGTCCCACATGAGAAAGAGAATAAACACAGATAAAACAAAAACAAAAAAAAGCTTCTGTTGCTATAAGTAAATATTTTTCATAATGAAACAGGAACGCTATAAACACAAGTGGTTATAAGACAAAAAACACTGGCATCTAACATAACTAGCTGAAGGTATTATTGCTTAATATTCATGGATTCATGGATAATTCATGGATAATATATCCATGAATTTACATTTTGTGCAGAATTTATAAAATCCACTAATTAATCTCAATATAAGATTATTAAAATCCTTGTATTATATAATTAAATATAATTGTGTAGAATGCTTCATTTTGTCCTCTTTTAAACACTACTACACCATGGCATACTGCTAAACAATACCTTTATTGAAAACTATGTTTAAGGTCAGTTATATTTCAGTTACATTCAAATCAACTTGTCAGAGTAATAGCTCAGTCCATTTTTAAATGTTTATTTGCCTTCTTCATTTGCTGCTGTCCTGATTCAAAGCATGGTGCCTGTGTGTGTCTTTTGAAACATCACTAACCATTACTAACCCTAAACATTAATGCCTCCGTCATTGCATGTAGTCTATTTTACATATTTCTATCCTTTTTACCTAAGACATAACCTGAATGGGGATGTTCCTTCTGAATAACTTAAAGTTGGCTTAAAAATTAACTGCATTATGTCCTCATTTGTAGATGGCTTGCAATTGAATTGTCTGCCAAGTGCATAAATATACATACAATAACTGGTAGTTTCCGCTTTATTATTTCCATAGATATAAACCCTTTAACAAGTTTTATAGTCGGTGGTTGTGGATGTAGGTGCTGAACTAGCAATGTAGGAATTAGGCAACCAGCTGGAGCTTCTTACTATAGAAGCAGCCCGATCAGTAAGGGACCCCTCTGGTTACCCCACCCCAAATAGTGCCCCTGGAATATTTATGTAAGTTTGAAAGTAATCATTTTGATTTATATTCAAAACAAGAGAAAAAAAAGTGACACTATACAGCATGGCCTTCTGCTCCCGCCCTTTCAATATACTATATTAATCTAATCCATGTCATCACATAAAACATATGGAAATGCAGTGTCCTCCTCAACTTTAAAGAAAAAGTATTTGTACAAAAATATATTTATTAGAAAATTGTACCAAGTCCCATCTGTTTTCTGAATATCTTCAGATCTCTCAAAAAAAGACATTTAGAAGTGTGGTGAAAAGTTGATACGGCCTCCAAATAGCTATTCCATATAATCAATACCCATTCTACAGTACCATAACCTAACAATGAGTAAGAAGAAAAAGAAGAAAAAAAGTGTTATCTGCATAAACTTGACACAGCAACTTATTGCACAAGCGGCCTGGCAAATGTGCTGTAAAATGTTTTATTTATTGTTTTTGACAAGACAAATAAAAATTTCTAGACAAGATGACAATAAAACAGAACAAGTAAATGAAAGAAAGATTACATTTATATAATTAATATTCATCCAATGTTTGAATAGCGCTCATCATGGATAACAAAAATTAAATGTATTTTTAGGGTCTCACCATTTGAACAAGATTCAGTAAAATACAATTTATACCAGTTCCTTTGTTTCACTGAGTTTAAAAACAACTTTTGTCTGTTAGAATGAGCATACATTAAGACAAAGTTTATTCCAAACATCCAAAAAGTCATCATCTCCTTCAACATTTTTTTTTTCAAGTTGTAAATTGAGTGTCTCCATTTTTTATAGCATATTTACAGTTTTTCAGCTCTTATATAATTAAAATTATTACAGATCTTTTTTCATTAAAAAAAAATATTCCTTATTGTCCCACAGTGTGGAAAGAAGTCCTCTACGGTTAACCATCCCTTTATAGAGCAGTGGGCTGCACACACTATATAACACTTGAGGAGCACTCTGGGGGTTAAAAATGGAAATATGTCAAGGAGTGTATGATCCAATTCGCAAGCTACTTCATAATTTCTTTAATAAAAGGTAAAAATGTATTTTACTAAAAAAGTACAGTTAGACAGAACTTTGTTTGATTTTTTCCACATTCTTTTTCATCTTTTTCCATCTCCTATGATCTAAAGTAGGAAGCTGAATTTTCCTCTAATAGTGCCAGCTCTAAATTCACTCTGTGCTTTACTCCCCTTTACAATTCATAATTAATGTGATCATCATACAATATTTAGTAACAAAAGCAGAAAACCAGATGGATTTCCACCAAAATTCCTTTTAGAAAAGCTTTGTCTATGCTGTATTCTTTTGCCACGAGAATGCACAAACCTATCACTCATACCGAGGGCATTGTTACTGAGTCTTCACACATCATGCCTCCCCCTCAGAGAGAAGATATACAGTTAGACCCTGGAGTGTTGCTCAGACAGCACTGAAGCTGAGGAGGATTTAGAAGGAAAGCACTTTAGCTACTGCTGCTGACTGCCTAATGATCAACAAGAAGAAAACGTGAGGCTGGTGTTGATTTGGACTGAGCTTGATTTTAGCTGCTGGACTCCTTTTTGTTACTTCTTTCAGCCTGATGTTCAATTTGGCACTTTGCATACATTTAAGAGTCCCTCGCCACCTATCTTATAATGATTTTAGTGTCTGCTGCATGCTAGAGTCCCAGAAAGACTAATCATAGCAACTTATTATGGGCTATTTGGAGTGTGTGCATCCATCTGAGCAGTTCACCTCTGTGTCATCTAAGGTCTTCTGCTGCTTGATGAGTCCAATGTTTTAAAAAGGGCTCAAACACACATTCATGCTCACATTCTCATACTGCCAAAACTCTAATGCAGACGACCCATTCGAATTCTCCAACAGAATTAAATTTTCATGCTGTCGTTGGCTCTGGAGATGCTTGAAACTGAGAGGAGTTTAATGTGACGTCTAGACAGGTTTTATGGTCTGAACGAACTCATGAGCACGTCTTGCTTAAAAGGAACATTTCAGAAAGAGTATTTGCACCTCTCAAACACAACAATTATTTTTAAATAATGTCATCTGGGTTTTATGAGATAGATCCATACAAAGGTGCG